TCTGCTCCTATGATGCTGCTTGGCCTGCTGTGTTCATCCAGCCCTGCACCTTGTTTTCTCTAGCACTCCCTGCTTTTATTTTGGACCAGCAACACCTTATCTGCTGCCTTTTGCATTCAGATTAAATGAACTCTCCTTGGATCAACATTTCTCTTAATTGTGTGAGAACACAAAGGCAATACAAGTCAATCAGCTCCAATTTGAAAGTTCACCACAAATAGTGCTGACAGCGCTCATTGTTCACAGCTAACAGAGAGAGGAAAATGAAACTTAGTCAGGGCATTCGAGTATTGATCCTTAAACCCGGTAGATAAACCCGAAATTAAAGGCCTCTTGGGGAACAATGGAGTTCAGGATTAATCGACTGGTTTATTCAGGGGTCAGAGCATGTCTCATAGCCAATCAACATCCTCCTTACTCCAAGTGGAATTCATCATAAGACCAGCTCTCCCATATGGATGTGATTCCAGACCATGACCTCTGACTTGGGCCATGACCCTGACCAAGGATGTTATCCTAGACCTCCATGTGATGCAGACTGTGACCCTGGCTGTGAACCTCAGTCAGTTTGACTGCAGATTGGTCCCAAAAGTTGCAGTCTGGGTAGGTTTGGAGCAGTTGTTACATTATTTTCCCTTGTGTCTCTCCCATGAGGTAAACTTCCAATGCTGTTTTTGCCTTTCTGATAAAGGGGAAGACAGCAGTTCAGGATGTTCACCTTATGCACCGAGCAGGTCATGAGAGTGTTTCCAGCCCACACAATCCAATCAAGGAGCAGAGCTAGAGAAGGGAGCTGTGCTTGATATAACACTAATGTTAATTGACAACTGGGAGCCACCACATAGTTACTCACTAACTGGCCTACTTCCATTCCTGTTCTTGTGAATTACATAAGGTTAACAGTGTTAGTTTTATCTCTATTGATGAATAATGAGATTGTGGTCAGTTGTGCTCAGAGTACAGACACAATCAGAAAGTTGGCCGATAATGTCACTCAGTGGAACTACTGGAATATTACCAGGTTCCCACCATCCGCTCAGTTCAACCCTGTTTGACAGACACACTGCTAGTTCTCAGGGATCTCTGGTAAGTAGTTAGGAACAGAAATCTTGGCTGATTTGAAATGGCTCCAAACCTGTGGGACTGAAGCCAATTGTTTTGCTACCACCCTTGCTGAGGATTACCCATGTCTGACCTCCTGGCTTTTAACCCAAGTTTGCATCATTGCTAAAATTGGTAACTTTGGGCAATACCAGTGAAAATCCTCAATGATGACTAATATTTAATTCAGCAATTTCCTTGATCCTGATATAGATATTAATGTGCAAAGCCAGCATGAGGTTGTTCATAAAGGAAGACATCACCTCACTGAGAATCATAGAACATTGCTCCAGCTTCAAGTACAGACAATAGGCGAATCAGACAGTTCCAATTACTTCATCCTAATTTAAAGATTATTGCATTGCTAAAGTTACAGAGAAATGATACTATCTTAGAGAGTTTTGCTGATCACATCTGTCCTTTCCCTCCCATTCATTACCCCTTCACCTGATGACATGTTTGATTGGTTCCAGGCCAGATCACTTGCTTTATTGATTTCCATTGCCCCCTCACTCCCTTTGTTTAAACACTGAGATGTGTATATGCATGTCCCTATTGCTATTGCATTCAATAGCCTGAAAACTTTGTCCCATGCACTCCTGCAGTGCATGGAGCTAGTGGGCAGGCTTAGATGCTTAAGTGTACTGCTGTGTAAATTCCTGGTAGAATTTCTTCAGCTTGGTTAGGAGTATCTTCAGCTTCTCAGTCTTGGGTAGGATGGTCATCCTGTGAACGAGCAGAAATACAACTAAGGACAAAGAGAATCAAAACCAAAGGGAAAACTCCACCGAAACACCCAATCCCAAATATCTCCACCACAATTTTAACACTACAATCCATTTCATTTTCACCCTTCCATATCATGAGCCCGCAGCCCCACTTCTCTTCCAGATCATACAAACTCCAGGGTTTCAGTGCCCAACAATCCACTTGCATTGCTCCACCATCAGTAGTTGTGCTTTCAACTGCCTGAGTCTGAGATCTGGAAACACTCTGAGCCTCTTTCTTCCTCAAAAACTATCTTGATAAAGAAGGCCTTTGGCCATTGGTACAAATAACTATTTTATTTTGTTTTCTCATGACTCAGTCATAGAGTCAGAGAAATGTACAGCACAGAAACAGACCCTTCAATCCAACTCATCTGCGCCGACCAGACATCACAGTCTGACCTAGTCGCACTTGCCAGCATTTGGCCCACATCCCTCTAAACCCTTCCTATTCATATACCCATCCAGATGCCTTTTAAATGCTATAATTGTACCAGCCTCCATCACTTCCTCTGGCAACTCATTCCATGCACACACCACCCTCTGCATGAAAAAACTGCCTCTTAGGTCCCTTTTAAATCTCTCTCCCCTCACCTTAAACCTATGCCCCTCTAGTTTTGGACTTGTCCCACCCTGGGGAAAAGACCTTAACTATTTACCCTATCCATGCCCCTCATGATTTTATAAATCTCTATAAGGTCACCCCTCAGCCTCCGATGCTCCAGGGAAAAATAGCCCCAGCCTATTCAGCCTCTCCCTATAGCTCAAACCCTCCAACCCTGGCACCATCCTTGTAAATCTTTTCTGCACCTTTTCCTGTTTAATACCATCCTTCCTATGGAAGGGTGACCAGAATTGCATGCAGTGGCCTACACAGCCACACCACAACATCACAACTCCTGTACTCAATGCACTGACCAATATGCATGCCAAATGGCTTCTTCACCATCCTGTCTACCTGCAACTCCACTTACAAGGAACTGTGCACCAGCACTCCAAGGTCTCTTTGTTCAGCAACACTCCCAGTGTCCTACCATTGACTACAGACTTTAAAAATGCAACCCCTCACACATTTATCTAAATTAAACTCCATCTTACCTAAATGCAACACTTGAGGCATTTTATTGCACTGCAGGTGCTGTAAAAGTTGTTGTTGGAACATTGTACTTGCTTTCAATTTTGCCATTTTCTAAACTTGATCAAACTCTGTGGAATTGCTGAGAATACCAATCTCTAAGCCACACATCATCCTGGGGAGGAAATATATCGCCGTTCCTTCAGTGTTGCTGGATCAAAATCTTGGAATTCCCTCCCGGAGAGTATTGTGGGTCAACCCACAGCACATGGATTGCAGTGATTCAAGAAGGCAGCTGACCCCCACCTTCTCAAGGGGAACTAGGGATGGACGATAAATGCTGGCTCAACCTGCAGTGCTACATTCGACCAATGAATGAAAGTGTCACTGTAACCCAATACAGAACTCCGACTGAACTTCACTCTTGTTTAAGGAGGTTGTTAGACTCACACAACGAAGTACATTGTATTTTCGATGTGGTCAGAAAAAGCAAAACCCTTAATTAGACAATAAACTAATCTGACCTGCAGAAAAGCTCCCAAAACAGGAGTCATTACACCAGGCTTGGCCTCGGAGTTCCATACATTGCTGCTAAGCCTGCCTTACTCTTGAACTCCGTGTCCTTGAAATAAACACTCACGTAACAGATCCTTCTGTACTGTTTGTTGTACTTGGTAACTTTCTACTTTGTCAACAAGTACACACTAGTTCCCCAAATAGGAATATTTACCCAATCCCTCACTGTTTAAAACATATTCTGATTTGTTTTTATTTATACAAGAACCTCACACTTAAAACCATAGAAACACAAGAACCAGGAGCAGGGCCATTCGGCCCTTCAAGCCTGCTCCACCATTCAATAGGATCATGGCTAATCTGACAGTCCTCACATCCAATATTCTGCCCTTTCCCCATAATCCTTCATTGCCCGACTGATCAAGAATCTATTGATATCAACCTTAAATATACATGAGAACTCTGCCCCCAACAGCTCTCTGTGGCTTGGAGTTCCAAAGATTCATAGCTCTCTGAGAGAAGAATTTCCTCCCCATCTCAGTCTTCAATTGGTGCCCCTTTATTCTGAGACCGTGCCCTCTGGTCCTAGACTCTCCCATGAGGGGAAACATCCTCTCAGCACTGATCCTGTCAAGCCCCTTAAGAATCTGATATGTTTCTATGAGATTACCTCTCATTCTTCTAAACTCCAGGGAGTAGAATCCCAACATGTTTAGCCTTTCCTCATAAGACAATCTCTCCGGACTAGGAATCATCTGAGTGAACATTTTCTGAAGTGTCTCCAAAGAAATAATATTTTTCCTTCAATAAGGGGACCATAACTGCTCACAGTACTCCAGATGTGGTCTCACCAGTACAGCTGCAGTAAGACTTCCCTACTCTTATACCCCAACCTGCTTTAAATAAGGGCCAACATTCCATGTGCCTTCCTGACTACCTGCCGCACCTGTGCGCTAGCTTTCTGTGTTTCGTGCGTAAGTCCACCCAAGTCCCGCTGTATTGCTGCTTTCTGCATTTTTTTCTCTATTGTTCTGTTCCTGTTTTCCCTCCAAAATGAACCACTTAACATTTTTGCACGATACTCCAGTTGCCGATATTCACCCAGTTACGTAAACTATTGATATGGGTTTTGCAACCTGCCTTTCCACCATTGTACTTATCCACATTATACTCTGTCTCACTTACTGTCTGTATATCTTTGTAGTCTTCTCACAGTTTACAGTCTCACCTATCTTTGTACCACTAACAAACACAGATACATTACTGTCTCTTCACCCAAATCATCAACATAGATTGCAAACAGCGAACGTTCCAGCCCTACTGACTGCAACACGCAATGGATCATAGCCTCGCACCTTGAAAATGGCCCACTTATTCACATTGTCTGTACAGCAATCCCCAAACTGGGCAAATTGTTTACCCTCAATCCAATAGGCCCCAAATCAAATAAGCGACAATCAAAAACATTTACACACAGTGTCCTACAGACTGGGGTTAGGGGATGGAATCTTAAACAGACAGGTTTCAAGGAGCATCATAAAGGAATTGAGTGAATGGGAGACAGAGGACTTCAGGAGCCATTTCCAGATAGTAGGCCCCAGCCAATAAAAACCAGGCTGGTTAAGCAACAAGAGAGAAGGATCTCATCCTGGGGGTGGTGTAAGGCACAAGCAATTTAAATTAACTGAGACAGGCATGCGCATGGGATTTGAACACAGGATACCAATGGTCAAATCAAACATTCATCAATGTGTTACTGACAAACAGCAGAAAACAGATCATTAGAAAGACAGGTCAGCACAGCCTTCAGCTCAGATTCACAGCTCTCTAGTTTCAACCCCAACTTCACAGCCGTATGCAGGTAATTCAGACTAACGTTCCCAGTGCACTCCTGAGGGAGCGCCGCGCTGTCGGAGGGCGGGTGCTGAGGGAGCGCCGCGCTGTCGGAGGGTCGGTGCTGAGGGAGCGCCGCACTATCAGATGTTTCACCCTTAGATGAGCAATGTCATGGTTTGAGCTCTCAGGTTGATATTAAGATTTCCATAGTTACTGTTTGAAGGAAAAGTACAGTGTGTTCCCTTGTGACCTGGGGCCTACGTGACTCCCTTCATAATAATCACCAAAACTGCTGATACTTGCAGTTTGTGGGAGCTTGCTGCATATAAATCACCTGCCTCAATTCCAGCTGTGACTACATTTCAGAAGTGTATTACCAGCAGAAAAGTGCTTTGGGACATTCCAGGATGGTGAAAGGTGCTGTAGAAATGTAAATTCTCTCTCCATGTACCTGAAATGATGAGTGCCTTCTTTCTGTCCAAAGCCACTCCCTGGAACGACACAGATGCCAGTCTCCTCCAGCAGCTTCATACAGAAGAACATATCGGGGGTCTGACCTGCAGCCTGCCGGGAAAGGACATTGGGTTACTGTCTGTTCACAGCAGAGTTTGGGTAGCTCATCCCGGGACCCCTCACTGGGTTACAGTATCCAGGGAGCTCTGATTCCATCAGAGATAGTAGGAACTGCAGTTGCTGGAGAAGGGTCTAGGCCTGAAACGTCAGCCTTCCTGCTCCTCTGATGCTGCTTGGCCTGCTGTGTTCATCCAGCTCCAAACCTTGTTATCGCAGATTCCATCAGGACAGTTTGAGAATCTGAACTCAGTTAAAACAATTGGGATATAAAACACTGGTATCATTCCATCTGATCTTTAGCTGACACAGAACTCCAAAGTGATCTTTAGAGAAGAGCATTACCAGTCTTACGCAGTCTGGCCTGTATCTGACTGCGGATGTGCAGCAAGGTGAAATGACCCAGCAATTCATTCGGGTCTGTCAGAACTATTTGTTGTGATGGCATCACCTTTATTGTTTTGTTTGTGGCCTTGGGTTTGAAGGATTGTGTAGATGGTTAAGGGGTGATCTGATCGAATTCTTCAAGACATTAACAGGAAAACTCAGGGTAGAAATCGTTATAATTCTCCATTGGTTGGGGATTCTGGAAATAGTCTGAGAATTAGGGCCAGACTATTCAGGAGAGATGCTAGGAAGCACTTGGACACACAAAGGGTGGGAGAAGTTCAGATCTCATCCACAAACGGTAGTGGATGCTGGAGCAGTTATTTATTTTAAATCTAAGATAAATCATTGTTTGTTGAGCAAACATATTAAGTATTATAGGCAATGCAGTTATATGGAGTTATGCTAAAGATCAGCCTTGGCCTCATCAAATGAAGGAGCAGGCTTCACAGGCTGAATGGCCTCTTCCTGCTCCCAGGAAGTTTTTATTTTTGAAAATGCCAATGAAAAGACGATGGAACATTTATTTAAGTGAGCTCTTTCTTTGTAGCATGACATCTTGTTGTAACTGTTTGTATACCAGTGACCCTGCCTGGGGCTATGACTGCTAGACAATGTTCCCCAAGTTATTTTTCCTGTTGTGTGACCCTCCATGTTCCATCTTTGGCAGCAGCTTCTGAAAGTTGAAGCCAATGTGTCAGCTCAGCGATCAGCCTGTGTACTATCAGATTGTATGGTGCAGTCATTGACTGACCTGGAAGGAGCTCCCACCTCAGTTCTCCTGTATCTAAAAATAATTCTTGTGAATTCTTGTTGTTCTCTCGAAGGACAACTGGAAGAATTCTCATTACTTCTTTTTATCTGAGCGAGCTGCATCTGCCAAGATGCCAGAGACAACTGCCTGTGTTTGTTGACATCTATTTACATATGCCAGAAGGTCAGACCAGAAGCAAACTGAACATCTCAAACTATATTTCTTTTTACCTTCAAGGACTAAGACTTTTTGGCCTAAGGAGTTTTATTTCCCCAAAGTGAATCTCTGTAGAGAGAAATCTATTCTTTTGCCGTTACTTGTTATGTGCACACGTGTTGTAGCTTATTTAGAGTAAACTTTCAAAACTACATATTAAAACTAAAGTCAGAGAGTCATAGAGTCAGACAGCATAGAAACAGGTCCTTCAGTCCACCATGTCTAATACTGACCAACAAACACCAAACTACACTAATCCCATTTACCCACACTCAGTCCATAGCCTACTATGGCCTAGTGTTTTAAGTGCTTATCCAGATGCTTCTTAAATATTGTGGGTGCATCTGCCTCCACCACCTTCTCAGGCAGCACGTTCCACAGTTCCACCACCCTCTGGGTGAAAAAATAGTTTCTCTGATCCCCTCTAAACCATTTCCTTCTCCCTTAAACTTATGCCCCCTGGTCTTAAACACATCTGCCATGGGGAAAGAATTCTCATGATTTACTCTGTCTATACCTCTCAATTTTGTACACCTCAATCAGATCACCCCTCAGCATCCTCTGCTCAAACTCAGCTTATTCACTCAGCTTCTCCTCATAACACCATAAAAAGCATTCAAAGAAGATGGAAAACTGGTTAAGTTTTGTTATTGAATAATAATTTTGTGGTTATTAAGGAAACTGGATCAGTGGATCCTATTTGAAGTCTAAAGTGGAGAACACATATGACTGGCTATATTGGTGAATACAGTGTGGAGCTGGAGGAACACAGCAGGTCAGGCAGCATCAGAGGAACAGGAAAGTTAATGTTTTGGGTTTACATCCTTCATCAGAACCCTGACCTGCCGTGTTCCTCCAGCTCCATACTGTATTGACTCTGACTCCAGCATGTGCAGGTCTTGCTATCTCCAACTGACTGTATTAGGCCTTGTAAAAGAGTGAAATTGATGATGATATGAACCTTGGAGCAGTGGGATGTTGGGGGTGGAAGAGACAGAGTGAGACAGAGATAAAACACTGGAACAAAAACAAAGTTGTTGGACAAGCTCAGCAGGTCTTTGAAGGAAAAAACAGAGTTAACTTTTCAGGTTCGGTGACTCTTCCTCAGAACAAAGAGAGAAATGAGAGAGAACACTGCTCCATCCTCAGTCAGAATGTGCTAAGACTGAGGAAGTTACTGCACCCACCCTTGTGTGGAAATGAGGGATCATAGGCCACTTATAGATTTATGTGCAAAATGGAATTACCTCCACCATCACCCACTGAATGGGAACAGGCTCAAGGGGCTTACTGACACTTTCACATTTGAATCTTTTGCAGGTCACTTTAACACTGTGCTGCTTGTTCTGCAGTATTTTATGAGCAGTGAGAGAATTGGGTAGGTGTGAAGGACATTGAGAGAACAGCTGCCTGCATGAGTGGTTAGGGTTTGGAATACACTCCCTGAGTGTGTGGTGGAGGCAGTTCCAGTTGAATGGGATATCTGATGGGTTATGGGGAGAACGAAGGGAATTGCTCAAAGAGAGGAGCTCATTCAGACAGCCAGACTGACATAATAGGCTGAAAGTCCTCCTTCTGTACTGTAACCTTCCTCTGGTGCCTTCCAGTTCTTTGGGGGGATGCACGATTCAGCAATGACACGGAGCCATGTGAAATGAGAGCTGTGCTGTTCAGGAATAAATTCAGCTTACAGTTTCTAACTGAAAAGACAGCAAATTTGGAACCAATCATTTTGTACTGCCATGTTTCAGAAACACCTCCGCTCAAATTGAATGCAGACATTTAAAAGACGAGACTAGACACAGAATGTCGTATTTCACAGAATGAGAGGCTGTTATTAAAGCCAGGTTAGATTTCGGGAGTTTACCTCAGCTGCCTCAATGGCTTTGGGTGGGATATCAATCCTGGGAAAGGAGTACATCGCTCCTTGCACTGGGTTACACCGGATTCCAGGAGTGTCACTGAATATTTCCTCTGTCAGACGCGCCCTCTCTGCCAAACAGTTCAGCACGTTTCGCTTCTCCTGAAGACAAAGAAAGAAATCCTTTGAATATCCTCAACGCAACAGCCTCACTGACTGAGAACACATTCACAATAATAGGACCAAAGTTAGATTCAAAGTAAAGATCCCTCCACACTGTTTCCACCCCCCATCAAACACTCTCAGGACAGGGACAGCACAGGGTTCAATACAGAGCAAATCTGCCTCTAAACTGTCCCAATCAAACACTCCCAGGACAGGGGCACGGGGTTAGATACAGAATAAAGCTTCCTCTACACTGTCCCCCAACAAACACTTACAGCTAAAGCATGCGTTAAAAACTGAGTAAATAGGAGTGAGCCCTTCATGCTACTAATGATTTAGCAAAATCTTATTGTGATTTCACTAGCACTACTGTTGGGACTTAGTTTGAACTTATAATGGAAACAAAGAAGACAGGAGCTGGGGTAGGCCAATCGGCCCTTCAAGTCTCCTCCAATATTAAATCTGATCGTGGCTGATCATCTAGCTCAGTAACTGGCTTGTGCTTTCTTTCAGACTTTTTGCTCTCTTTAGCTCAAAGAACAATCCAATTTGATGGGGCTCCAGGTTCAGCCCGACAGACAGGAAGATTAGCTGCTGTTGTAAAGCCACTCACTTTCATGAACTTCTCGTACGAGGGTTCTTCAGGTCGAGGAGGGTCTGTGATCACTCCCAACACTGCCTGCCCCGACGTTGGGGGGCAGAGACGCACAGAGACCAGTTTGATCAACTGCATCCTGACCTCAGGGTCCAGGTTGATGAGTTCCATGTAGCCCCCCCGGAAACCACACCTACAGAGAGAAAGGAAAACAAACACTAACATTAGGGACAAAGGAACAGGAGGAGGCCATTCAGCCTCTTCCACCATTCAATGATATCATGGCTGATCTGTGACTTAATTCCATATACCTGCTAAATAAATACTGAAAAAAACTGTGGATGCTGTAAATCAGGAACAAAAACAGAAGTTGCTGGAAAAGCTCAGTAGTTCTGGCAGCATATGTGAAGAGAAAATCAGAGTTAATGCTTTGGGTCCGTTGACCCTTCCTCCAAACAGTCCTGAGGAAGGGTCACCAGATCTGAAACATTAATTATGATTTTCTCTTCACATATGCTGCCAGACCTCTGAGCTTTTCTTTTTGTTCCATATACCTGCCTTTGGTCCACATCCCTTAATCCCTCTGCTTAACAAAAATTTGTCTTCCTCAAAATTCGAATTAACAACTGATCCAGCATCTACTGCTGTTTGTGGAAAAGAGTTCCAAACCTCTACCACCCTTTGTGTGTAAAAGTGCTTCCTAACATCTCTCCTGAAAGGCCTGACCCTAATTCTCAGGCTATGCCCTTAGTTCTAAAATCCCTAAAAAGCAAAATATCTATCTGTCCTGTCTTTTCCTGTTAATATCTTGACGACTTTGATCAGATTACACCTTAATCTTCCAAATTCTTGAGGAAAGAGGCCTAATTTGTATAATCTCTCCTCAAAGCTTAGCCCCTGAAAACCAGGTATCATTCTTGTAAACCTACTCTGAACCAGCTCCAAGACCATTCTATCCTTCCTAACGTGTAGCATTTAGATCTGCACCAGAGGAAAGTGGGGTCTAACCAAGGGTTCTATATAACTGCAGTCCTCTAGACGTAAAGTCAGCAGTCCATTAGCTGTCTTAACTATTTTCCATACATGGTTGTGACATTTTAAATATCTATGCAACCAAACCCTCAAGTCTCTTTGGACATTCACTGCATTTAACTTGATACCATTTAGAAAATACCCTAATCTGTCCTTTCTCAGTCCAAAATGGATAACCTTACACTTGCTTACAGTGAAGTACATCTGCTACAGTTTTGCCCATTCACTTACTCTATCAATGTCACTTTGAAATTTTATGTTATCATCTACATTGTCTTTAATGCCACCTAACTTTCTGTCATCAGCAAATTTAGATATATAAGTTTCTACTCTTTCAAAACAGAAAATAAAGCTTCCTCAACTTTCTTACATGAAAATAAAGACCCTATTACAAAAACAGAAGTTGCTGGAAAAGCTCAGCACGTGTGGCAGCATCTGTGAAGAAAAAATCAGAGTTAATGTTTCAGGTCTGGTGACCCTTCCTCAGAACTCTTTAAAGACCCTGTTACTTTGGGGAAAAACAAAAATAAATAAACAACCCTTCGGATCATTCGGGAGGCTGAGGGGGCAATTGAGAGGAGTTACGGGGAGGTAGTCACACCTCAGGTACAGGAAAAAATTAGAATAGTTACAGTCAGGGGACGGAAAGGGAACAGGCAGACAGTGCAGGGATCCCCTGTGGCCGTTCCTCTCAAAAACAAGTATACCGTTTTGGATACTGTTGGGGGGGACGACTTACCAGGGGTA